TTGGTGAGGCAAATGGAGACTCCGACTCTCTTATTATACCGGTTTCCAAGAGGGCTTCCAAATGTTTTCTCACGGCTTCATAATCATGTGGATGGATCGGCCGAGATTTCTGTTTGAATGGGGTCTCGTCTTTTAAGTTGATGTGATGTCTTATCTGTTGTGTATGACCAAAATCAAGATCGTGGTGCGAAAACACATCGGAGTAAGTGTTAAGTTTGTTGGTGATCCTCCCTTTCCATTCTTCGGACAAGGGCGAAGTACCGAAGTCAAAACTGAGAGGAGGGTTTGAAGGTGAAGTCTGTTGCTGCGAACTACACGCCGCAAGTACTTTCTGATCACTTTTGTCAGGTTCTGGATATGGCATAACACGATCGGCTTTAACTAACTCAGCGATCACACAGTTAGTGGGTAATGTGATGTCATGGTTAGTTTCGTTTCTTAGTACAACAGGTACTTTGTATGGACCATGTGAAGGTAAGGAAATGAGGCAACAGTCTACAATTATACCCCCTGGTAGAGAACCATTGGTGGGTTGTTCAATGAGTGCATAAGGCTCATGCTTGTTTTGGCTGGGTTGCATAAACCCTTCTAGTAACAGTTTTTTATTTGCAGGGAGAACTTCTTGGGTTCTCCCTCGAAGCTTCACCACACCAACTCGTCCATCTTTGCTTTGTTTTTTTCTGACTGCTAAGGCTTTTAGCACGTGTTGGTACCCATAAGAGAGTGCCTTGGAATCAGGTAAGTTATTGGCAGACAATTGCTCATACAAAGGATCGAGTGTGTTTGTGCCAATGAGTAGTGGTGTATCAGAGTTTGAGCTTATATCCGGAACCACTAACGCAAGGGTAGGTAACTCAAGTCCAGACTGATCGAGCTCTTTTGGAAATGTGACACTTATCTCTATGTATCCTAAATAAGGAACTGCTTGACCGTTTGCGCCCTCGACTTCTAACAGATTACTGATGGGTTTAATTGAGAGGTCAGGTAAGTGTTCTTGGTAAAAAGAATTGGCAATGGTGGTTACCTGGGACCCTGAATCCAGTAAACAATTACATTCAACACTGTTAACTGAGACTGTAGCTGTGCATCGCCCACCCACTAATCTTTTGGGAAGTTTTGGCACTGAATGAGCATGAACTGGCTTGCAAAAAAGTCTCTCTGTCCTTTCCTTAGAGGGACTTGGTTCTACTTTAGCACCTATCTGTCCCACGATAGGAGCTTCTACCGGTTTAAAGGAGGAGACTGAGCAATTGGCTTTGACATCTCCCACTCGCGCTGCTTCTGTCTAAGAGCAAGTCTTTTAGTTGCAACTAGTGCTGGATTTGGCTCGTTGCTACAGCTAGAAGCTATGTGCCCATCTTCTCCGCACTTAAAACAGTATCCAGGCTTTGGTCTGGGCACCACTGCTGTTATCTGCTGAATCTGTTTGGGCTCATCTGGAATTTTAGTCCCCACACGGGGTTTTGACTCTTTTTGAGTTTTCTTTGCCTTTTTATCTGTGTTGTTAACCTTAAGCTGTGCAATTTGGCTCCTGAGCTCAGCGATTTGTTTGCGTAAGTCATCACAGTTATCATCTATTTCCAGTTCACAAGTGTTTTTACTCTGAGAGCATGTTGTTTGCACATTTGAATACACTCTAGTTCGTTGTGCCCCTAAGTGTTGTTTCATGCGTGCTGCTTTAGTAGCCTGTTTGTCTTCTTCAGTGCGCAGTTTGAGGAGAAGTGCTGTAAAATGAGGCGGGTTGTCTTTCTTTTGTTCGAGTTGCAGGTTTGAAATCAGCGAGCTGTCCCAACAGCCTCTGCAAAACTGCTTGAGCAGCTGCTGGTCGGCGTCACTGGAGGAAATTCCATTCCTCTGAATAACTAGGTTTAACAAGGTGTATAACCTCTGAAAGTAATCGGAAGGTTTTTCACCACTGTCCTGGTTTGTGTTTAAGAAGCGAGCAAAGAGCTCGTCGCCGTCTTCGACAGCTGCGTAAGCTGAATCGAGATGTTCAAGGTACGTTTCCGGGTCGGATTTTGGACTAAGAGCTTTAACGATGCTCGCTGCTGGGGCTGACAGACTCTCCACGATTCTTCGTACAATTTGGGACTTGGTGAGTGAAGGATCATTTATGCATAACACTACACTACTACGCCAAGTATCATAGTCAGTTTCAAAAGAAGGGTGTGGAACTCGCCCTGAGAACGGTTTTAGTCTGTATTGTGAAGTAGGCGGAGGGATAACCTCACTGCTTTTAACAATGTGTTCCACAATAACTCGCTGAACCTCAGGTGTGTTTAAAAGATTTGGTGGAATGCAAGGGTTTTGTTTTCCAGTCTCTGTAGGTGGACAATTGTCCTTTGAGTTGTTCATATAGTTAACTTCTGGTGTTAAAGGCAGGGAATATGTAACTTGGTCACTATGGAGCATTGGCTCTGGTTCAGTGACTGGTTCAGATGCATGGGTATCCCTTCCTAAAGATTCCCCAATTTTTGCCAGTTCCTCCATTAGAAGGTCTTTAAATGATTGATTGCTACGCGCAGCTATGTCCCTGAGCTCTGACAGATAGGCATCAGTGGCAGATGTGCTAGTTTCTAGACTGTACGCGCTGGCTAGGTCTTGAATATGGAAGAAAACATCTGGGTTCCTAGTACAAGGTTTGTCATAGGGTAAACATTGTTTCTTTAATTCCTTAACAGTGGCTTCATGTTGAAACTCCACAATAATCTGATCACAGTTTGGTAACTTAATGCGCCTGTTAACTGGTCCGAATCCTTCCATAAACCCAAAGACTTCGTTATCAAGGTCTGTATCAGTTAACCCACTGATTAAAACAGCATTTGAAACTTTGACCTTTTCTGTTTTCACAACTTCCATTTTAAAACACTCAAAAGTACCAATAATGCCAAAATGGCAAACCACTGTGACCTCCAGGCACTCTTATGATGTCAGTCAATGGTTAGCTAAGGTAACAACTCTACAATTCTCCTGGCTGGCTCGCCAAGTTTTATGTAACCGGATTACAGGATACAATAAGATAATTAAAAGAAAAAATAAACAAATGGGCCAATAATTAGGTTCGGGGAGAATTGGAGGTTGTTTAAGAATGACTGGAGTCACGGGTATAGCATGAAACGGTTTATATACTAAATTTTAATAATAATGGGAAATATAACACATAAAGATAACACACAAAAACAGATGAAAACAATCGACAATAGTAAATTGGTCGGTATGAGATTTGATCATATGAGTCACAAGTCAGCCGGCGTCAAGTCAAATCCCCACGCTTGGGGTGAAAGTCAGAGTCCGGTGGTGCGATTTTTTCCTACCACACCGTTGAGATTGTTCACAGAAGAGAGCAGTCTGCTCTTCAGTTACTTGAGATGTCCTGGTTCGTTCAGTGGTTAAGGCTCGCCATCTCCCTCGTCAGGAAGAAATCCAGTTCTCGTTCCAAGTGAGTGATCGTAGGAGTCGGGATCAAACCCAAGGAAAAAAAAAAAACCCAGCCTGTAAACAACAGGACTGTTAGCAAGTTGGCATCGACCCTTCTCGTCACATCACAGCATAAAGTCTTACAGACTTAAACAAATGCTTCACTCTATTGGCATAGCCAATCATGTTTGGGTTCACAGTTCAACTAACATAACATCAATTTGATTGTCTATTAAAATAATTCTCAGTAGCTCTGGAAATATAATTACATATGACAACAATTGTTCAGCTCAATAGGCTCAGTTAGATTCTATTACTCTACACTATTCAACAAGAAATACATTCATGACAACAAGGATACATTTAGTTGTGTTTCTATACAGCATTGTGACACCTTGTATATCTGTAACACAATAAATAAATAAATAAATAAATAAATAAATAAAATGTTCTATAACAAAATTCAACAAAATATAAATTCTGGTCCTTTGGTCCACCTTTGTAAAATAATTCCTCCCTAATCAGTTAGCTTTTATTTATTTTTATTTATCTATTTTTTTTTATTATTAAATGTTTGGTTAAGGGACGCATTGCTAATTCTATGGCGTTAGCTATAACGCCCCTGAGGACCTTGTACATCTAGGCCGTACCACCATTAACTGGCGGTTTGAGCCGTTAACTCCTGGGAATCCCATATGCCCTACCGCCGTTAACTGGCGGTTTGAGCCGTTAACTCCTATATGCCCTACCACCGTTAACTGGTAGTTTGAGATGTTAACTCCTGGGATCTAACGTCTAGCAGCCCACTGCTGTCACCTCGGTTGCTGTAATTAGCTTTTTGAATTTAATAATTTACTGAATTTAATCTCATTCACTCACCAACGCGCTCCAACGGTTCCCTCCTACAGAGGATTGGTTCACTCTGTCGTCTCCACACAAATCTATAAGAATGGAATTAATTTGATAAGCTATTTAAGTTTCCCCTTTTTTTTTTAAGTTGCATCGTTAGCTTTTTCTCTTCTTTTTTCTTTACTCACCGCGTTGGTTCCAAGTTCCTAGCTCTTATTAGAAGGAGTCAAGTCCGCCTCTCCCTCTATCTATGCGGCACCCAAATCAGGGTTCTTCACAGCCTCGACCGTTGTTTTTTTTTTCTCTCTCTCTCTCTCTCTAACCGCTCAGTCTTTGCTTTCTGTATCTGCGTGCTGCACAGCCGTTTGTCTCTCCTCTCGCTCAGCTGCGTCGCACGGTTTTATTTCGCGGAGGCGGGACTTATTTCTCTCAGCCAATGAAATTTCAGATTCCCACCTGGACCAATAGTATACAGCTTTCCTCTTCTGTTTCTGTTAGGGATGTTCAAGATTCTTGTTTTAACCGATGTTTAATATTAAACTCGTTATTTTAGTTATTCACCCTTCCAATAATTCATTATGAAATTATCTATTAGTTAATTAGATATCTATTAATTAGTATTGTTAATTTCCTTAATTTATATTTTATATTTTATCTAAATTGAGGATGGATCATATTAGTAAGCCAATTAGTTAATACCTCATTAAGGTTCTAGCTTCTGGGTTACAATAGGAAGCACACACTAGAGCTAAAATGAGTGAGAAGTGGCTCATATGTGAGAGATGTACAGGTAGGTGCTGTTGATGCTCCAGTCGGGGGGGAAGTCCTGCGCTGCGTGGCTCTTGACGTGTCTCTGCATGGCCACCAGGCTGCTGCAGAACTCCAGACACATGGTGCACTGGTAGGGTGCCGCCCCGCCGTGTGTCCGCAGGTGCTTGATCATAGCCGAATAGTCCCGTGAGCGTTGACCACAGAGACGACACTCGAACGGTTTTTCTCCTTAAAGCAAAGTAAAGACAGGAAGGTTTCGTAATCATCCGTCTTCTACTGTTTGGCGTTATTTAAAAAACAACAACATTCATCTTAAGTCAGACTAGCCATGTTTCCCTGCTGGCCTAAATCACTTGAATGACAACCCTTGTTGTTTTCAGACATTTGCACAAGTGTGTGAAATGACTCAAATGGGACAGTTTTATGCAAATGATCTTAATCTGCACAACTTTACGACCATGTTCCACTTAGCCACTTTGGTTGTAGGTCAGTGTAACAGAAACGCAAAGTGCGGTCTGCTTTTGTTTAACTAAATGGTACGTCATAGTTTTTTTTTCTCAAAAGAAAAAGTCGGCGATAAGTCAGAAATGGTTTGCACGATCCAGCTCAGAGATGAATAGAGTCCTAACTCGCTCACTTTGGTGCTCAACGGTGTCCCACTTTTTATGTCTTTTTAACTTTCCCTCATTAGTCAAGCACACAGAACAAAACCTAGACAGGTTAAAGTTTGGAAAATACTGAGCTGCATTTGTTATTCAGAAAGACTTTTGCTATTAGGCAGAGGAGCTGTTCTCTGTCGAATGACAGATTTTCCACCTCATGGAAGTTTCAAGTTTGACAGTTTCAATTTTCTTCATGACTAGGGCTGCATGATATTAGGAAAACCTGCGATATTCGATAACAGTGCTCAGTATTGCGATATCGATATTACTCACGATAAATGAACAAATACTAAAGTATGCAGTGTTGATGTCGTCTGGCGTGTGATGGCTGCTCTGGGTTCAAAGCAAACAAAAACTAATGCATGAATTCCATACAACATAACATTTTTATTGCAAAAATATGCAGCTGCACCCGCTACTGTATTAGCAGCTGCACCTGCTGCTGTATTAGCAGCTGCACCTACTACTGTATTAGCAGCTGCACCTGCTACTGCATTAGCAGCTGCACCTGCTACTGTATTAGCAGCTGCACCTGCTACTGTATTAGCAGCTGCACCCGCTACTGTATTAGCAGCTGCACCCGCTACTGCATTAGCAGCTGCACCCGCTACTGCATTAGCAGCTGCACCCGCTACTGCATTAGCAGCTGCACCCGCTACTGCATTAGCAGCTGCACCCGCTACTGTATTAGCAGCTGCACCAGCTACTGTATTAGCAGCTGCACCCGCTACTGTATTAGCAGCTGCACCCGCTACTGTATTAGCAGCTGCACCCGCTACTGTATTAGCAGCTGCACCTGCTACTGTATTAGCAGCAAAACAACAAACTGCATGCATGCAATTTCTCAGTGACTTTAAAACATCACCTCCACCATAAAACTTTTTCTGATGCTCCAAATACAGAAAAACATCCCTTACCAGGGTTTTCTGAATAAATAAAAAAAAAATATCAGAATAATAAGTTTAAATGTTAAATAATAGTTAACATCACTTAAATGCAACCGCAAATTCTCTCATTGATACTGAACATTTTCTCCACTTATGTGGTTATGATATAAGGCTGTTGCTGTAACTGGGAAGTGAACTGTGCTGGGCCAAACTAGGAGAATATTAAGATTTTCTGAGGGAAAGAGAAAAACAATTGTCTACCTTTCAGAAGAGGAACTGGCAAAAAACTACATGGAAAATATGTGAAAACGTTTGTTTTTAACCCCAAATTGAACAAGTTTACCTAGATCTTAAAAAGCAGCTCAGTTGATGAAACTGCAACTATTGGGCCATTCCCATCTGTACCGGGTCGGCCCGGGCCGGGCAGCCCCAGTCGGCCCCAGCCTGGCCCGGTTGATTCCACACATGCTTGTCTTAAGCCCATGTGGGCTGATTCTACCCACCAATCAGAGGCTTGCTCTAATGGAAGGTGTGAGTTTGCTGTCAGCAGTGGGGGTGTTGGCCCTGGTCGGCCTGAAGCAGACCCCCTCGAGAAGAGGGCTGAGAATGAGCCTTGGTTGGCCCAGAAAAATACCAGGCCACCCAGATATGTAAACAACCTACGCTACCCGGCCCGGGCCGACCCGGTACAGATGGGAATGGCCCATAATATTCTGATAACAAGCTAACAAATTGAACTAGCTCCTCTTAAGATAACCGGCTAGCAGAGCTTCTGACTGACAGTTTATGTGCAGCAGCAAATCAACGATCCTGATTAACAAGGTTATAAATGAAAAATCACTTTGATGTGTGGGGGAACTTTTCCAGGCCCTCTTTAGCAGGGTGGGACTGGGAGGAGAGTGCTGTAGCCTTTTAGCTGGAAGCTAACTGGAGCCTGGGGCTAACATCACCACCCGGTGGAACACTAGCGACATGGAGGAAGGTGGGTTGGTTCACCAGCACGTGTCGGAGTCAGCCCGGTTATTATCAGCTGCTTAACAACACCGAGCGGACTCACGTTCACATTTGAAAGCAGCGCTGATTCCAGAAACCTCAGCACAAAGTGTGTTCGTTGCTCTGAGCCAGCATGACGAACAAGGGAACGGTGTCACTAACTCAGTTCGGGTGTTGCTTTCCATCCTAAGGGTCTACATAGGTGGCGGGCGTATTATGTGAACGTACCCATCTGAATGGCCGCATATCAGAAGGGCTACATTTGATTGGTCAAATAATACTTCCGCGTAAAAAACAGAGCTGGTTTACAAAAAGCTGATGTATGACACGGATGGAAATGTTTGAACCGAACATTTATCGCCGTTTTTGACGTGTTTTGCGTTGGGCCTATCGCACGTCCCGTTATCGCGATGACGATAATTTTTTGATATATTGTGCAGCCCTATTTGTGATATTAAAATGTGTGGAAAACTGCTGGGAGGATGGTTAAAAATCAAAAACAGTCTGATTTGCAAGATGAACAGAAGTGATGCAATGCATCGTTCTGGTTTAATATTTTTGTCTGAATTGAAATGGTCTCACTTTGAAAGTTGACAGTTCAGATCTGTTGATGTGTATTTCTGTGAACAACAAAGTAATTATCTGTTGCTGGTGGCTCTTAACTGACTCGCTTCAGATTAGAATTTTTGTAAGATTGCTGCCTGAAAAACTGTGGAACGTGACATGAAGTAAAATGTAAATTTAATAAAATAATGTTTAGATAAATGCAATTTTTTTCTGAGATTGGAATAATTTTTGAAACTGTTATTTCCTTCTTTGTGGTTGAATCCGAACTAATCTCTGTTTCTCCATACTGAAGCCGTTCAATAAAATTTCCATGGAAACTCATCACGAAACATGTAGATTAAACCTTCAGCCATTGTTCTATACAGACATAATACAAAGAAACAACGTTTCCAGGTTGTTAAGAGTCCTCCGGCCTTCTCCGACAGGGTCTTACCGGTGTGAACACGATGGTGCGTGTCTAGCTGATGTTTCAGACTAAACTTCTTGGGGCAGTGTTTGCACTGGTATGGTTTTTCTCCCCTGCGTTGTCCTCTGGTCTCTGTTTCGTGTTGCTCGCGAACGTCTCTTCCACCAAACTGATATCCAGCACAGTTTTTACCTGAGACAACAAAGGGGTCAACGATTAAAAGTGTGAACAGGGTGGTCAAACAAACAGGATGTACCACCACATGTTTCTACAGAACAAAGGCAAAAGGACACGGTTGCGACACTTACTTTTAAGATGAAAAAGAGCTTCAGTCCATCGGCAAATGGCAAAGCAAATATTTACTGATCGATTTACGGTAGATCTGACTACAAACAAGATGGTTTGATGATGATTGCACTCTAGAAGGTCATTTAGCATTTTGCATGTCAAAACATTTTAACTTCAGCCTCGTGAAGTTTTATTTTCCCACATTTTAGAGAAAAATTGACCTGAAAACTAATAATTTCTAGTTGAACTGGGTTGAGCTTCTTTTTTTTCCTCTGACAGCACTAACATTAAACCACCAATTACCACCAACCTCACTAGATTGAGCAATAGTTGAAAACCAGCTACTGTTTCATGCAAGCGCTTTAAAAAGTACAACACAAGGTTTTACTGAGACATGCATGAGCAGTAGGTGTCTATTTCTGTTTGGCATCCTGTTGCACGACAATAGATTTGGTGTGTGTGTGTGTGTGTGTGTGTGTGTGATCTTACTTTCCTGTCAGCCTTGTCACATGTCTCCTCTAAAAATGACAAAGGTGTGATTTTTGAGGTTGAACTAAAAACTGTGAAACCCTACAGGTTTAAGGGTCTCGAAAGAGAAAACGAGGCCCTCGCAGCAGCCTATAGACAGGATGCAACAGCATGAAGCTGATGTACTGTAGTAGGGGAAAAACAGGAGAGAATAAACCACAACAATTGAAGATTTACCACTCTAAACACAACCTGTTGTGTCTTTGTGTTTCCTGTCCAATGCGTCGCTTCACGTCTCACTTTATGCCTTTACACAAGGCTCACATTTTTGTGACTTCCAGCTCACAGTTTAGATTGTTTTTACTCAAAGCAAATAAAATTCAGACATGTTTGTTGGTTCTCCATCATAACCATGCCAGACCCCCTCATTAACACGGTTTTCCCACAGCAAATGAAATGGTGTTCTCTAGAGCAGAGACACTGCAGCACAGAGAAGGCTAATCAGTGTGATTGTACATTTTCACGTTACGAGCGCGCTTCTAACCACAAATCCTGCATGTGCTGTTCAGTCGTGTGCTCTGTTCACTTCAGAAGTTTATCACAACAAACGTTTGACTCTTTTGGCATGGGACAGACCGCTGCTTTCTCTGCAGTACGTACTGCAGATATGGAGCTGTATCTAGTAACCACACTACTGCTCCTATTGCACTGTTTCTTTCAGCACCACAAGCCTCTATATCGCTTTCCAGCAACGTAGCTGGAGTCAGTCGATGTTAGGGGTCACAGCAAGAAATAACTTATCTCGGTGAATAAATCTTTTCATGGCTGGATCATCTTTTCTAAAGCCTGTATCTTATTAATTTGCCTTAGTTGAGTGTTTCTCCTTTTCACAGTGTTGTATCATTTACCAGACGCCTGCAGCACTGGATCACTGAGGAGTCTCATGCTACCGTCCCGGCAGTCCTTGGCTCCTTTGGTTTGTTTCGGCTCTTCAGAAAAACTGCAAGACAAACATTTTTATAAATGGGAGTTGTAGAACTTTATGATGTTTTTCTTTTTTAAACAAAATGTAAAGAAGAAAAAAATAAAATAAAATAAAACTAACAGGATTATGTAAAGAAGCAAGCAAGGTTAAAAAAAATCTGCCCAAATTAGCTGCTTGTTATTCATCTATCAGTAGATAAAGCAGCATTTCCTTCCTCTTTTGTAAACTTTGTTAGTTTTAGCATTGCGTTAAGGTAATAAACATATTGTGAAATATTTGAGAGTAGGAAACCGAAAAGGTCAGGTGGGGTGGGGGGTTGTCAAAGAGGAGCCCCACTCTTCACAAATGTAAATTTTTGTTTGAGCAATTTCTTTGTGGTGCAGACGTAGCCAGTTAAAGCTCTGAAGACTCAGTGGTTGGAACATTTTTGAATTCTGCAAAGGAAGGGAGAAATTTAGGGGACCCCCCTTTACTCTCAGTTAGATCTGAAGTGGAGAACTAGAAAGAACTGGGTAACTCCTAAAAACAATTGATGTTGGTTTTGACCCTTTTTTTGTGTGCAAATATAGACTCTTTACTAATGATCAGAGAAGATAGACGTCCTAAAAATGATGAGAAATATGGAATCCAAAACATAAATTTAGATATTTTAAATAAAAATACAAATCCAGTAGAAAGACCTTAGGCTTGACCAGGCAAGGCAAGAAAGATAAAGAGGGGAAAGGTGATCAAAGCAGCCAAATGCAGGAGGCTCAGTCACGCTTACACACACAAGCAGTGAGTCAGGTGCGGTAGCTGTTGCAAAGGAACGACTGAGCAAACCAGGGGGTTCTAGCTGACTGAGCAGGAGGAAACAAACGGGAGAAAATGAACGAAGATCAAAAAACTGAAGTCTGATTTACCTCGTCTCTGCTGTTTGACTTGTATTTGATTTTTTCCTTTTCAGCAGGCCGCGTTTGATCATGCTGCCCACCCGCGAGCTTCCACTGTACAGGTTCTGTGTGTAGTGGGGATGGAAGCGTGGGTAGCCCTCTGTAGAGTTCTGAAGAGGACTTTGGAAACGGGAACTGAAGAAAGGAAGCACGCTTGGTGTAGACAGGGACAAGGGGTAAACAAAGGAGGACGAGTTTGAGGACTGAAGGTTGTGAGCTGAAACCAGGTTGGAATAGTTTTCTGCTATCCTCCTCAGTGTGTTCAGACGCATCTCAGATTCCCAGACGTTTTTGTGGAGCGTCCATGGAGACGTGAACGATGAGCCGCTGGTTGTAGGTCTGGTGAAGACACTATCTTTGCTACACAGTGTTGCAGAAATCGGGGACAGTCTTGGCTTCTTTCTTGGAGATTTTAACAGATTGTTTGCATTTGGAGAATCAACATCTGGGGGATCAACACCTGCTTTCTCCACCGGTGGAGATGCATCTTGGATTTTGTCCTCATGAATCAAATTCTGTTTTAGCTTCTGATCTTTAAACTCTTTGACGTCTTCCCTTTCTTCAGTTTGGTCCTCCCCTCTGGTTTCCAGAATCTCGAGCTGCTTGCGGCACTGATCCGCCAGCATCTGCATTTCCAACAGCTGAGCAGCTTTGAGCAGCAGATGCAGGTCTTTCACAGACACTTCCAGTGCTTGGGTGTAGGTGAAGTCCAGAACTTGCTGGAAGGTGTGAGGTAAAAAGTAGTCCAGAGTGCAGTGGACTGGGCTGTCTATGTCTCCTCCTTGGGCCAGCTGCTGAGCTAAGGTCCTGCTGGCGCAGGCCAGAACGAGCCGATGAGCCCTAAAGGTTTGACTCTGCACCGAGATGAAGGCGTCACAGAGCACCCCCGATCGTCGTAAGGCATTTGCCTGCTGCAGGAAGTGGAAGTATTGTGTGTTGTTGATTTGGATCATTTCTGAAGTTTCTGAAAATATTGGCAGGGGTCTAAGAAGAGAAAGCCACAAAGCGAGATCCCATTAGATAAATGTCCACACCGCATTAAGATCAGTTCCATTTCTTTGGCTGTTATGAGACATTTCTAATTAACAGCAGACGTCATCCTGGAATTACCATAAAAAAGGCTTTATTGTGGTTGGAAAAGTTTCTCCTCTTTTACATGAAGTGCAGTGAGAATTAAGGGGGCAGAATGTTCCAAAGAGGATTTCGATTTAAATAACAGGAAAAGATAAAAAGTTGATTGAGTGCTGAATTCTACTTCTAGTCAATTTCAAAACCTCATGCTGTTTTGATTTTTTAATTTAAGAAGTTTTTAAAGAGAGAAGTGCACTTTGATCTTTTCATTCCTTAATCAATGCCATGCGTGTTTACGGGTCTGAGCATTTGACTGATGCAGTGGAAATGTACTCATCTATGCGACGGCTTTGCTATTCACAGAGCACATACACACTTTGAAGCCGCAAAGCTCTAAAAATACATGAAACCATGACTAATAACCGTACAATCGAGAAAACATGAGTAAAGTTTAAACAACAACAACAATAAGAACCTAATAATAGCAAAGAAATTAAAAATGGTGGTGTAGCCTGTAGGTCTTTGTTATTATAGAAGCACTTTAATACGGTTGTGTCGTCTTGTTTTTTTTTTTACAGAATATAGTCAAAAAAATTGTAAAATAACATCAGGAGCAAACGGATGGAAAGGTGATGCAAGGGTGTGCAGGGGTGTAATATGTAAATATCTCAGTGTGGTAGATAAATATTTGGAATTTTACACGTAAAACTGAGAATACGTGGATGAACACGACGTGGCTCTGTGCTGAAAGCCTGAGATCTTGTCACTTTCATGCAGATTAAGGTCTTTGTGAACTAAAAATTTGAGGGTAAGTCACAAAAAAAGGTAAAAAAAAAAAAAAATCAGTAATTTTCTTATAAAGTTTATTGATTTTATTTAAATATATATCACAAAAGACAATAAATGCCAAATACAATTAGGAATTATATATTTCATAACCACCCTAGCCTATAATAAAAGTGCATCATCTGAAATCATGAGTATTAAATTATCTGTGACCCATTATTCAGATCTTATCAATGCTGCATTAGTGAAAGAATTTAAAACTATTTAAAATTTCTTAGATCTTGTATGATTCTCACATTTTATGCAAACATATGAATACTATGCTATGTTAGTTTTTTTAATACTTTTATTTGCCATTTTGCAGATTTGGTGAAAGATAGCTGCTGAGTTTAGTCCACTGCATCGAGAGTGAAAGTGACACAAGTGCATCTCCAGCCGCTGTACATACTGTACACGGCAAGATCAAGGTTTCACTTCAAGATGTGCCTGATAATGTCAAAAAGTCACCATAAAGTAGTAAATAGAACAGCATTAAATAACCACTGTACAATTTGGAATAACTCTTTAGAAGGAAAATGAGCCAAACGTAAAGTCTGCTCATAAAAGTGTATCATCTGCATACATGAGTATAAAATGGACTGTTGATGAATATTTGACAATACATTACCACTATAATCAGTAATACAAAATATGATTAACAATGTTTTTTATAAGGATTTATATTACACTATTACATTCATTTCTGCATCAAATTTTTGAGAAATAACTGCAACTTTCTGTGTTTTTCAATGTAGTTACTTCATTGTAAAAATGGCAGTAATAGGAGTAATAATAATAGCAAAGAAATAAAAAATGGTGGTGTAGCCTGTAGGTCTTTGTTATTATAGAAGCACTTTAATACGGTTGTGTCAATTTTTTTTTTTACAGAATATAGTCAAAAAAATTTAAAATAATGTCAGGAGCAAATGGAAGGAAAATACTTTATGCAAAGAGCCTAAAGGTAAATTTGAACATCTTTTGTTTATTTTAAACCCCAAGAATCTTCATTAGGGAAAATGTTGGAATTTATTCAGCTATAAAATTAGTTAAATGTTTATTTTACAGCTTTATTTCAGTCATTTGCAATGTTTTCAGTCCAGCCAACGCAGTTCACCCGAAGCCGTGGATTTTCGCTCATGTACAGTTACAGTTACGTTTCCTATGCCTGAAGCCCTTGTAGTTAGTGTGTGATCTAGAACAGTACTTTTTTAAAAAACACTTTTTGGTCCAAATCTTTTAAAACTAGCTCCTCTTATTGCTGTTCACATTAGATTTGCTGTCTTGCAGAGTTCTGACATAGTTGGTGTCAGAGCTTTATTCACTCACACTACAGTCGAATAATTGCTCACAACGGGGAAAACAATGCATGTGTCTGTGAGATTTACACATCCTTTGACAAACAGGACATGAAATTACAGTCAGCCTCCCCACAGCTCACATAAACAGGACCTAAGTCACAGAAGAGCTCTGAAAGACTCTGTGGGCTACAGAAAAGCACAGCAGCACAATGCCTTCCTTTTTCACAAGATCAGAGAAAATGAGCAAAGATGAGCAGAAGTAAAGAATATCTGCTTGTGGTTTCAAGTCTCAGAAGCTAAAATGCAGCCGGGTGCATGATTAAACCACTTACCGGCTGTTTAGTTAGTCTTCTCTCTGGAGAGCGATGAGCTAGCTCGCATCATAACTGAAGTTGTGAAGTGACATGTCTGTTGGGGCACAGGTTAGGCTGTGGGACAAGGTGGTTTCCTCTTTCTCTTCAGTCCCTCCTCTTCAAGACTCTTATTGGTGCATCGATTACGATGTTGAATGGCCTGTTTATTGTAATAAAACAAAGTAAAAAACACATAATTTATTCTTGTTGTATTCTGTTTAAAGCACAGAAAGAGTTGCATGGAATTTTTCTACAGTACTTTTCATGAACACAATCTGAATGAAAAGGTGCATTTTAACTGAGAGATGAGTATTAAATAGCCTGGCAAATCATCCCATATAAGTGAATATATAGTCTGGCCACGGCCCATAGACCGAATTCAGTGGTGGTACAGAATCAACAGTTGTCTTTCAAACTGTCTTCGGTACTTTTGGACAACGAACAATGTGACGGTACTCATCTCTACAGATGACAGTCAACAGGGCAGTCCGCCATATACTGTTGAGGAAGACACAAATGCCTAGTTTTTCTAAATAAAGGACTTGCACACCTATATCTGCTCTTGACTAAAAGTTGATGCCAAAGCCGTTTCAACAAGCTGCCAACATCTTTTTTTTTTTGTTGCTCAGTCACCGTAATGCCGCAGAAATCGATGGAGCGCTGTGTTTGGCAAAACACAAAACTGTTCGTGGCTGCTGAGGCTCATGTGGATTATGGCTAGACTGGCCTGCAGTAAATTCATTTTGCTTCCGCTACAGTCTGTCCAGATGTCTAAGTTATGTATTAAATATAAAGGAGTGTGTCCTGTAATTGGTAAGTTTCAGGTTCGAACCCAGGCTCTGTTAGTCATTGTGTCCTTGATCAAAACACTTCACCCTCCTTGTCTGTGAATGGTGGTCAGAGGGCCTGATGGTACCTGTGAATGGCGGCCTCTTTTCTGTCTCTGTGTCCCAGGGAAGCTGTGGCTGTCATAACCATAAGCACATTAATGTGTTTATGAATGGATGAATGTTCACTCTAGTGGAAAGGGCTTTGGAGTCCTCTGTCTCAGAAAGGTGTGGGTCATTTATCATGCAATGATCAATTCAATGGCCTCCTCCAGGAGGCTCACCGCTCAGCAGAACACTGGTGTAGTTTCTTCTGGGGAGAAATGCACTTAGAGAGCATCGACATTTAAATATTGGACAATGGGTTTCCATAGGCTCCAATAACACATTTTTGAAGAAAAATGGGAGGTGGCCACCACCGCCATTTTGACCGTGTCACAGGTTCCGTCAAGCCCAGACAATTCCATAAAAGGGAAGAGAGGTGGAGCTGAGGGTGGGGTTGTAAGGCTGGGATCAACTGACGACACCCGGTCGAACTAGCTACAAGCTAACCTGAAGCTAACCCAAAGCTAACGCGGAGGTGGGAGCTAAGCCAACGGAGGTAACAACCTAGCTACAACCGGTGATAACGCGGTGCACAACACCAGAGCTTGTGAGTCAGAGATACGCCGGGCTGACCGCTGCGTAAAACCGGGTGGAACACAGAGGTCTCCGAGAGCTCCACAAGCCGGCAGCCGCACAGCTAACAGAAGCCGCGATCAGACAGAGATGCGCCGAGCTGCGGGAAGGGGAGAACGGTTGGAAAACAGAGGTCTCCTGAGAGCTCCACAAGCTGATAGTCAGAACCCAGCTCCACCAACTTGTTATATTTCAACCCATTTTCTAAAGTGCAGCATTATGTTAAACTCCAGAAGTGAACTGGAGGAGAAAGCGGTAACAAACGGCAGGATTGAGAGTCTTATTTCCTGATATTTGGATAACTCACCTCTTATTGGCTAACAGCAATGTGACTCTAACACTGACTTCATTTGCTTTACTGCAGACTGCAGTCCGACCCACAATAACACTCTCATCATCAAGTTTTCTGATGACACCACGGTAGTCGGGCTCATTTTGAAGGGAGACGAGGCAGAGTACAGAGAGGAAGTCCTGAAATTGGCAGCATGGTGTTCAGAAAACAACCTGTCCCTGAACACCAAGAAAACCAAAGAGCTCATTGTCGACTTTGGGAGACACAGCACCGACTTGGTCCCCCTCTACATCAATGGGGAGTGTGTGGAGAGGGTCCACACTTTCCGGTTCCTTGGTGTCCTCATCTCTGCTGACATCTCCTGGGCGGAAAATATCTCAGCGGTCATCAAGAAGGCCCAACAGCAGCTGCACTTCCTGAGAGTCCTCGGGAAGTACAAGCTGAACTCCGACCTGCTGCTGACCTTCTACCGCTCGTCCATTGAGAGCCTGCTAACCTACTGCATCACGGTATGGTACGGCAGCTGCACCAAGGCGGATAGAGTGAGGCTTCAGAAGGTGGTAAAGACAGCACAGAAGATCATCGGCTGTCCTCTCCCCTCCCTGATGGACATTTATTCCTCCTGCTGCCTCAGTAGGGCAGCAAACATCACCAAGGATAGCTCCCACCCTGGCTTCAACATGTTCAGACTGCTTCCCTCAGGGAAGCGCTACAGGTGCATTAATACAAAAACCCACAGACTCAAAAACAGTTTCTTCCCCAAAGCAATAACCACCCTGAACTCACACATGCACCGATAACACAGCCCCCCACTTCCCACTTCCTCTATTGACCATCACTATTTATTTATACCAATTCTTTGTGCAATAATTGTATATACATAACATTACTGTCCATATAAATATAGTGCTGCAGAACTGTAACCCCCCCCCCTTCCCCAGTATGTTTTTTTACACTGAGTAGGAGATGCTCTGTATCTCACTTTACATCTGTATAGTGACAATAAAGGCATTCTATTCTATTTTACAACGTTGGTGTTTTGTCTCCACAAATAACACAAGCCTGAGGGATTTCTGCTGTGTTGTCGGGTTGCTGGAGCTAACCATTAGTATCTACTAGTTGAAACATTCTCTGCTCTTTGCTGGATGCTAATTCGATGATAGCCTTCCCCGCTGTTAGTCAAGTTGGGTGACTCCATAAATGCTGACAGTGTGATGTAGATCTGTCGAAGTTTTTCTGAACCGAGCATTTCACTGTCTATATTCTTTCAGAAGCTAATGCAGGAAATAGAGGTAGAAGACTATTTTCGCAAACCTGGTCTTTAAAATGAGGACACTGGTTTGATGTTTGAATTTGATGGTGTACACCTCATGATTTCCTCCCTCCAGCATTCTTTGCTGGTCACTACGTTAATAGGTTGTTCTATGCTGAGACAATAAACCACTTGAAAGTGACTGGTGTATGACAGGAAACATGCAGACCAAAGCCCAGTCGTACTGACATGCAGGGAGGGCTAAAGGCTTCACTGAAACATGCACTCTCAAAATAGAGCTTTCAGCTTTTCCCTTTTGTCAGGTATGTGAGGTATCAGTCTGACATATAATAAAAATAGGCCAACTGTAGAGAGATGGTCAATCTATCAGACCTCAAAAGTTTGGTTAGTCCTACATTATGCTCCTTTAGCATTGGTTTAAACAGCAGTGTGCTATTTATTAATAATAACAACATTTGCTGCACATTGCTATATTAGTTTGGATGAGCAGCCTTCATGTTGTTGCTTTCTCGTTGTCTTCACTCTCACAGCTACTGTACATGTAGCTGAAACTGAGTTTGGTACATTTTTGATTGCCTTTTCTAAAAAGTCATGCTTCTGTTCTTCTAAAATGTATTGCCATGCAGTTTGGTTTTTGAACATTTGTGCAACCAGTCATAAACCTTTTTTATTTTTAAGTGCCATGCAACACACACACACACACACACACACACACACACACACACACACACACACACACACACACACACACACACACACACACACACACACAACCTGTTTAACACTGGAGCTTTCAAACCACTGGACATGCAACGCTGTCAGTTAAATAAATTGTGGTAAGGGATTTTTTGCGAAATTCATAGACCACAATAAACCCTAAGGTGGGCTGACAATGAAACAACAAAGACAAAGGCCTGCACGAGAAATATTAAACATGCAACGAACCCTCAACAGGAAAAAAACAGACTTGAGCATGAGCATCTTTGTTAGAGGTTTGCATGCAAAAATAAAATAAAACTCAACCAAAACGTAAAAGCAATCTTATCTTGTCAGATGGAACAGATTAGCAGCAGCTTTCAGTGGGTTTTAAATACCTTTTGAGACATGTTGTTGATTAAATCTGTGTAAAAGTAATGAAGGTAGTTTTCTGAGAAATAGTGTTCATGTCCTGTTTATGACCTGACTGACAGCATGTCAGGGCCACTCAGAAATAAAGACGGGAGTGGTGATTAGGTGATGGTTGGCAGGTGTAAAGTAGCTGCTACCTGACAGAAGTCAATTTTGAGTTTCAAGTACTAAATATTATTACCCAAAAGTAAAAATGTCTAAATATGGAGGACAAAGAATATAATAGCCCATGAGACATTTTACTGAAAGTGAACTAACTTCAGTCCTTACCAATACACATCTCAAAGCTGATTTAAAGGTGCAGTTCACTCATTTAATCAATACATTTGCAGTGTTTTCTAGTAGGGAAGAAAAACTTCTCAAGGAAAAATCGAAGCCCAGATGTGCTTGTTTCAGGAAATACCAGTCAGCTGGAGGAGAAAGTAGCTTTGTGCCCCGTCCTTTGCAGCTCTCAACTGCACGTTCCCATCCAGGGGTGCGATCGTGTGGATGTTGACCACGCCCCGTTTGCATCCTTGATTTGCACTTCGTCGATGCTGTGTGCAAATTTTGAGAATAAGGCAGATTAATGGCTCGAGTGCCCTTTTTGAAAACATGCATTTTCAAGTATAATTTTCAAAATATTCTGTATTCTATTATTGTGCACATATATGATTACAATCAATAGTTCTCTGTTAAAAATACAATATATGTTTGTTGAAAAATATTGATGACTCATAACAGTGCTGGTGTGTGTTTTTGGAAATGACATACCAGTAATATAATCACTTGTTTTAATATAATTCAGTATAATTTTACGGATTGAAAAAATGTTTGAATGTTTGTGGAAAATCAAATCTTCAATATTAGAACCAAATATTACATATTTCCTTTTTTTTACCCAAGATGAAAGAAGTTCATTTTAAGATAATGATATTTATTCGTACTTTGAATGTTTGAGACTAAGACAATAAATGCAACTTTTGTTGAATAATTGTTAAAAAGTTGTTAAAAAAGTAGCAGAAACCAAACACAAACACAAAAACTAGCAACCGACTCTGAAAGGCATTGTACAAGTGTCTATCAAGTATCGTGTTGCT